GTTGTTGCGTATGTACAGCTGTGTTGTTGTGTATGTACAGCTGTGTTGTTGTGTATGTACAGCTGTGTTGGTGTATATGTACAGCTGTGTTGTTGTGTATGTACAGCTGTGTTGTTGTTATATGTACAGCTGTGTTGTTGTGTATGTACAGCTGTGTTGGTGTGTATGTACAGCTGTGTTGATGTATATGTACAGCTGTGTTGGTGTATATGTACAGCTGTGTTGTTGTCTATGTTGTTGTATATGTACAGCTGTGTTGTTGTGCATGTTGTTGTATATGTACAGCTGTGTTGTTGTATATGTACAGCTGTGTTGTTGTGCATGTTGTTGTATATGTACAGCTGTGTTGTTGTGTATGTACCTTGTATATGTACAGCTGTGTTGTTGTGTATGTACAGCTGTGTTGGTGTGTATGTACAGCTGTGTTGTTGTGTATGTACAGCTGTGTTGTTGTGTATGTACAGCTGTGTTGGTGTATATGTACAGCTGTGTTGTTGTGCATGTTGTTGTATATGTACAGCTGTGTTGTTGTATATGTACAGCTGTGTTGTTGTGTATGTTGTTGTATATGTACAGCTGTGTTGTTGGGTATGTACCTTGTATATGTACAGCTGTGTTGTTGTGTATGTACAGCTGTGTTGTTGTGTATGTACAGCTGTGTTGTTGTATATGTACAGCTGTGTTGTTGTATATGTACAGCTGTGTTGTTGTATATGTACAGCTGTGTTGTTGTGTATGTTGTTGTATATGTACAGCTGTGTTGTTGTGTATGTTGTTGTATATGTACAGCTGTGTTGTTGTGTATGTTGTTGTATATGTACAGCTGTGTTGTTGTGTATGTACCTTGTATATGAGCTGTGAGTAGTAGTCGGTGACTCCTTCCAAACAGCCGTTACCGAAGGAGCCCGTCAGTCTGGAGTCCGAGCCCAGAGAGGAGCTGCCGTACGGGGGGAACAGACTCAAATCCACCGCCAGAACTGGCTCCATGAGGGGCAACACGGTCAGCTGCTGGAGGGGGTGAGGGGGAGTTAATAATCAATCCAGACATCAGCTGATAAGAGCTCGTACTGAGGATGTCAAAATGTTCCATTTTTCAACGCGGTTTTGAAACGGCGTCATTTTAAACGATAAGATCTTTGATATTTTAATGATCACTCGTATCAGAATACCAAAACATTAAAGATAGAATGTGCAACATTTTAAATGTTTCATAAATCAAGTAAATGTGTAAATGTGTCTCTGAGTCCTGACTGTCTACAATGAGGGAGAAGCTCGAGTCCCGCTGGCTGTGTTGTTGTCAGAGCCGTGTTTACATGGACGGGACGGCCGGCTCCTCCCCTTGTGTATAAAAGCTGTTTTAGTCAAGAACTAGAGAGAAGAAGAAGAACATACTCACTGATTATTTGGATGTTAGTAAGAGTTTTTAGATCACGATCATTCTGTGTCAGTTTACATGAAATGTGAAGCTACGAGCTAACTAAAGAGCGCTAACATTAGCATGCTAACACAACAATGTGAAGCTACGAGCTAACTAAAGAGCGCTAACATTAGCATGCTAACACAACAATGTGAAGCTACGAGCTAACTAAAGAGCGCTAACATTAACATGCTAACGCAACAATGTGAAGCTACGAGCTAACTAAAGAGCGCTAACATTAGCATGCAAACACAACAATGTGAAGCTACGAGCTAACTAAAGAGCGCTAACATTAACATGCTAACAACAATGCAGAAAGTTACATTACTGGAGGAAACAAACGAGTTACAAAGGATCCGAGGAGGGCTTGAGGGAGACAGGGTCGGTCTACCTGTGTGAGGTGGGTCAGGGAGTCAGAGGGGGAGGTGGTCGAGGAGGAGTGGAGCATCTTCTCCTCCTCCTCCTTCTTCCTCCTCTTGTTTTTGGGAGGAGCTTTGTCTTTCTCCAGCCGAGCTTGTCTCTTACAGCGCTGCACCTTCTTCCTGCCGGACGAGTCCAGCAGATCTACACCTGCACCGTCCGTCATCACCTGCAGGAGGGCACAGGTCACCATGGTAAGCACGGTACCATGTCAGCTCAGAGGTCACAGTTCTGTCATTAAACCAAACCAACACTAGCTCAACAAGCTTTGAGGTAGCTAACAGAAAGGAATAGTTATCGTCTTTCAAGCTAAAAATGTAATGTACCAAACAAACTAAATGACGAGCAGTTTAATGAAGTTCTTCTAAATATCAAAAGTAACTTCAAATATTCTTTACTGCTCCTCTGTTTGTCCAAACGCAGGTTAAAATCTGACTCCTCACCACGTTGCCATGGGAACCAGGCCTGTCCTCCTCCTCAGACCGCACGCTCTCACTGGACAGCTGACGGCAGGCAGTGGGCGGGGCCTGGCCGGAGGGGGGCTGCGTGGTGGTGGGAGAGCCCTTGTCCTTCAGCAGGTGTCTGAGCAGCTCCTTTCCTCCGTCTCCAGAGGGGGAGGAGAATCCATCAGCCCCGCCCTCCTCCATCTTCACTACACCTCCT